GCGGCTTGTAGAGATGCCGACGGCCCGTCTCGAGCCCAGAGTGTCGGCTGTGCCAGAAATTGTCCTATAATCTGAACAAACGTTGAGGGGTAGGAGGTGAGGAGCCCACACACCCTTCAGTGAGGGGTCAGGCTCGGCCTCCAGCTGTGGGCGTGTCCAGCCCTGGGTGCGGGTGCCCAGGCCTTTCTGCTCCCAGCAGGCAGGCTCCGCAGGCAGGGACGGGCGGGAGGAGCTTAGCATTGTGTGAACATTGAAGACCTTTCGCTCGCTCTGCTGCTTTCTCTTTTAGCAGCGAAGTGTTTTTATCAGGGTGTGCACACGGGTTAGACGTGATGCTGCCGCACACTCAGTGGACTGTGGTGTCGCACAGACAAAGCCTGCGTGCGCTGGGAGACGGGAATGCGTGACTTGCTTTATTGTGACACGCCTCGCCGTGTCTGGAGCGGAGCCCACACTGCCTCCAAGGCTGCCTGTGTTTATCTGTTAATGAGACAAAACAAAAACTAGTAGAGAGGAAAAGTAACTTCAGAAAACCAGGTAGCCAGCCAAGTCCTATGGCCCCTGGCTGGGCCTCTGGGAGCCAATCAGAGCCGGGCAGGGGGGAGGGAGGAGTGTGCCTCTGGCCACGACGTTTGCTTCTGCCCATGAGTCTGGGCCTTGTCCGTGGACGACCTTCGTAGGTGGTTTTTAGAAGGTGCATCGAACTCTCACTACAGGAAATGGACACGTGTTAACGACTATTTAGCTCATTCACTCATGATGGGACCACAAAGCTGGTCTGTCTGTTCCGAGGAGCAGCCCTGAGCCCACGCACAGGGCCGGGGGCCTCTCGCTGCCCGGGGGTCGGGCATCCGGAGGGGGGCTTGGATTTTCTCTGCCACCTCACGTCTGGGTTATTTTGGGTTGGGGTGGGGGTACTGTCTCCCTTTCTATCTCATAGGCTGTTTGTTTCCAGGAAGACAAAGTTGTTTTCCTTTGATATTTGCTTAAATGTTTACTTTTAAGTGATGTAACTGTAGAAAAACACATGTCAATGTTTATTTATGTGGGAAAATGTTTTTTACATTTTTGACCTTTTTTTTTCCTTCTCTTTTGAACCCTCTAGCCAGTGAGAACATTGGTCATGACCAGCATGCCAGCTGAGTAAGTACTCAGTGTTGTGATGCCTTTCTCCTCAGTCTAGTGCTTTAGCCTTTGCTTCCGGTATGTCCTGGGAGCTGGGCTTCTGGCAGCCGCAGGCCGGGACTGTTTCTCAGTTGTGCTATATCACTAACATCGAGTTAGAAAATCCCTCAGCACTTGAAAGACTGAGTGTGCCCTGGCCAGGCTCCGTGGTTAGAGCGTCAGCCCTGGGCCTGGCAGGTTGCGGGGTGCAGGGCACGTACCGAGGTTGCGGTTGGCTCCCGGGCCCATAGGGGCGCTGGTGGCAGGCAGCCAGTCCATGGGTCTCTCCCCTGCCCTTCCACTCCCTCCGAAAAATTAATGGAAAATATCGTGGGAGAGGATTGAAAAAGTAAAAGACCAAGCAGGTCCGCCCTGAAGCTGGGTGCGGAGCCGGGCAGAGGGCTCGCACCTGTTGCTTTGCCTGTTGCTCAGCTGGCATGAGTGTGAGCACCCAGCCCAGGATCGCACCTGCTTGGCCGGCAGCCTCGCTCCCATTTCCCTGAAGCGCTGAGCAGGCTCTGGCGGGGAGCTCCCTGCATGCTTGGTGCGCGTCCACACGGTTCCTGAGGGTGCAGAGCCGCTGGACAGCACGGCACTTCCAGCGGAAATGCGGCACCATCTTTGTGACAGATTTTGGAATTCCTGTTTACAGGGACACCTGTGTTTCTTCATATCAGCCATAGGTTTTAAGGTTTTGAGATTCTCATCGAAACCTGGGCCCTTTCCGTGAAAATCAGGCTGCAGCAGGCGTGCGAGTTCCACCCATTCGCAGGAGCAGGTCCCTTCCTGCCGAGCCACCACTGAGAGAGGCAGGCCCGCCCGTGGCTGGTGAGCGCACTCTCAGGCCGCACACTCCTGGCCGCATTCCTGCCCGTCTAGGACGTGGCGAAGCCGTCGCAGCCGGGCCTGCTCAGCCCTTCACAGCGACACTCAGTGAGAGCGACATCCTGTGTCTCCCCGGGGTCCCAGTGATGGCGTGGGAGATGGGGACATGGCAGCACAGCTGAAAGGGGTGCAGAAGCGCAGCCGTCCTGCCTTTTCGATGGGCTGCATCCCCAATGCTCCTGCAGGAAGCCTTGACGGTGCTGTTTTCCCTCCGACAGCAAGCAGAGCATCGTCACCCGGGTGGTGGCCAAACTGAAAGGCTTCTCGTTGGCCCGAGAAGTGTGTGAGAGCACCACCCACGTGCTGGCCGGGCAGGCGCTGCGCACCCTCAACGTGCTGCTGGGCCTGGCTCGCGGCTGCTGGATCCTCTCCTACGAGTGGGTGAGTCTGTGCTGGGCCCGTGTTCCCATGGAGACCGTCCTGGGAGAGGGGGTCTGTGCTGGGCCCCGTGTTCCCACTGAGACCCTCCTGATAGTGGGGGTCTGTGCTGGGCCCCAAGTTCCCACTGAGACCCTCCTGATAGTGGGGGTCTGTGCTGGGCCCCGAGTTCCCACTGAGACCCTCCTGATAGTGGGGGTCTGTGCTGGGCCCCGAGTTCCCACTGAGACCCTCCTGATAGTGGGGGTCTGTGCTGGGCCCCGAGTTCCCACTGAGACCCTCCTGATAGTGGGGGTCTGTGCTGGGCCCCGAGTTCCCACTGAGACCCTCCTGATAGTGGGGGTCTGTGCTGGGCCCCGAGTTCCCACTGAGACCCTCCTGATAGTGGGGGTCTGTGCTGGGCCCCAAGTTCCCACTGAGACCGTCCTGGGACTGGGGGTCTGTGCTGGGCCGCAGGTTCTGACCCTGACGGTGCTGCGCTGGGCTGGGTTGCCCAGAAATGTGGACAGGAGAGTCGTGCCCTGCACACCGTGTTGGTTGCACACCTTCCTGCGGCCCTGGCTGCATTCTCGGGGCGGGGGCGGGGGGAGGACCCTCGGCCGCCGGAAGAAGCCTGATTAGAGCCAAAGGGAAGGGAGACCCCTGTGCATGTTCTCACAGTCGCACGTACTTTCCTGCGTCTGAGTGAGAGGTAATGTGACTTACGTTGGGGTGGTTTCAGAAGCCCCAAGAATTGGCGGATGGTTTTTGCAGATGGCGTCCCTGAGGTGAGCCATGTCCGTGTGTCCACTTGGACACTTTCTGTCTTACACGTCTATCTGTAGCATTACTTGCCCTCATTTCTATGAATTAAAGACCATTTATTTTTTTAATCATTGTTTTCATTATTCATAAAAGTTGAAATTGTCTGTTGCCGTTTCTGCTTTTACTTGCTCCTCACCCCAGTCACTCCGAAGCCTCGCGGTCGGGCAAGTGGTGTCGACCGTTCCTTGCGTGGCTCTTGCATCTGCTCACTGTCCACCCCGGCTCCTCCCCTGAGATGACTCCTAGTAACACTGCTCGCTCACTCCAGGGGCTGTCAGTGCTCTGCCCTGCACTCCAGGGCTGTCAGTGCTCTGCCCTGCGGGAGCTCTGGACCAGCTCTCGGGCCCGGGAAGCAGAAGACATCAGAGCTTAGGGTCACGAGTGGGAGGGAAATGGCCTGGGACGCTCTGTCCGCATTGGTGGCGGTTGGGGGTCACTGTGCCTGATCGTATGTCAGGACTGACCCGCACGGACGGGCATGAGATGGCACCTGTAAGTCGGCTTCCGTGAGTGATGCCCTGTTCTCTCTCCTGGTCACGCCATGGCCTCCTCAGTCAGCGGCTCCTCCCCTCATGTCCCAGAGGAAGAAGGTCCTGTATCTATGGAGATGCCTCTGTGCCAGCCTGCCCCCTGGCACCTGGAGTGTCCCCTCTGCCTCCCTGGGCACCTCTGTGTCCCCCAGGGTGTGGCCTGGGCCTCCCACGAACCCTCTGCAGAAGCGGAGCAGGAGCCAGGTGCAAGGTTCTCCTGCCTGTGGGGTTCTCCTGTCTGTGAGGTTCTCCTGTCTGTGGGGTTCTCCTGCCTGTGGGGTTCCCCTCCCTGTGGGGTTCTCCTGCCTGTGGGGTTCTCCTGCCTGTGAGGTTCTCCTGCCTGTGGGGTTCTCTTGTCTGTGGGGTTCACCTGTCTGTGGGGTTCCGGTCTGTGGGAAATTGCCTGCCTTTGGGGGTCCCCCGCCCTTTGGGGTTCTCCCTCCTGTGGGGGTTTTCCCCCTGAATTTTGAAGAAAAGGTGGGGGGGGGGGGCGGGAAGGGGAGTAAAATTTCATGGCTAATACAATGGGGGCCTTGACTTTCCGAGTTTAATTGTTTCCGTGACCGGAGCTTCGTAACTCAAAATTACTCGTATGGCAAAATCAAAAAAGTGAAACGAGTGAGACACGTTGATGCTGGGCTGATGGTTGTGGCGTTCACTGTGACCGTTCGCTGCGCCAACTAGCGGTGGGGTATCTGAAAGCTGGCTCGTAACCCGAATTTTAGCTCGCAACCTCAAAGCAAAAAATTTGCCGAGAGACGGGCTCGTATCTCGAAAAACCTCGTTTAGTCGGGACACTCGTAAAGTCAAGGCCCCCACTGTTCACGGCCGGTCCCTGCCAGCTCCCCCAGGGTCTGCTGGAGGAAGCGGCCACTCAGGCCCCGAGGGAGTGACAGCACCACAGCGTTGGAGGGAGCATAGCTGCCGCCCCGCCCGTGGGGAGCTCACGGCAGCCTGGTGACGGCAGCCTGGTGACGGCAGCCTGGTGACGGCAGCCTGGTGACGCGCCGAGCGGCCCAGGAGGCAGTTTCTCAGGGCCAAGGTGGCAGCGTCCCCGCGCCCCTCGGGGAGCCCCCGTCTGTGCGAGAGGACGGGCTCTCTCTGTGGTCCCCCCTTTTGCCAGTGTCCCAGTGCAGTTTGGGGGATTCTTAAAATACTCTTGGCGAGCAGTGTGAGCTTGCCTCCAAGACAAACACGGCCGGGAATGTTTTTACTTCAGGGCCCTGTGGTCTCTGGAAATTTCTCGTAGCGTTCTAGCCGTTCTTCCCAATAGACGGTTGTATGTGGCCCACGCAGTCTGTCACTGTGGTGATTTTCTAACAAAATCCGTGTGTTTCATCTGTTTTTCTTTGGGAAGCGCGCTGGCAGCCCCTCCCAGTTGGCGGCCCAGAGCGCTGGTCTCCCGCTTCAGGCTGGTGCCGGAGGTAGAGAGAGGACCAGCGGGCGTGGCATGTCCGTGGGCAGCAGACGGGCGCGGCACAGCGGGAAAAGGAGGAACTGGCCCCCACAGGCCCCATTAGGTTGAGACACGGCATTCCGTCGTGTTGTGCTCAGGCGTGGGCTCCGTGGTCCTTCGCCGTCACGGGCTGGGCGTCTCCCGCGCTCTCTGTGTGGCCTCCGGGGAGGGTGACCCGCCTCCCTCCTGTCCCCTGGGGTGGAGTCCGTGCCTGGGAGATGGAGCTGGGCGAGCGTGTCAGCCTGTGTCGGGTAGGAGGGGGGTCTGAGCTCGGTGTCGGTGCAGGCCTTTCCTTGGCAGGGCAGGACGGGGGCCACTCGGACGTCGCTGCGGCCCTTCCCGCTGTCCTGGGGCGTCGTGCGGCCGTCTAACCTGGGGCTGTGTGCTCTCATGAGCAGCTACCGGAAAGGCCCGCACTCCGAGGAGCTGGAGCTGAGCCTCGGGAGCGCGGGAGGAGGTGTGGGGGTCCCTCCCTGGCTGCTACCGGGGGACCGGAAGCCAGCACTCACCTGTGAGAGTAAACGAGAGAGAGGCTAAAAGTACTTTACAATCTCAGAACGAGAGACCTGGAGGTTGGAACAGGCTGGAATCTCTGAGGGAAGGTGGGGGTTGGGGGTGGAGGGGAGATCAACCAAAGCACTTTATGGGTGTAGGCCAGTGATGGCGAACCTTTTGAGCTTGGCGTGTCAGCATTTTGAAAAACCCTAACTTGACTCTGGTGCCGTGTCACATATAGAAATTTTTTGATATTTGCAACCATAGTAAAACAAAGACTTATATTTTTGATATTTATTTTATATATTTAAATGCCATTTAACAAACAAAAATCAACCAAAAAAATGAGTTTATGTGTCACCTCTGACACGCGTGTCATAGGTTCGCCATCACTGGTGTAGGCATAACCCATGGACACAGACACAGTGTGGTGGGTGTGGGGTGGGCTAGAGGGGTCATTGGGGGACAGAGGGGACATCGATAATACTTCCAACAATAAAGCTTTTTAAAAAGAATTTTAGAATTGCTTCTGGCCTCTGAGCTGAAAAGGTCCCGTGCAGGCATCGTGCATCACCATAAACTGCAAGCGTGTGCTCCTGTGGGAGCTCAGGACAGTCAGGTGACCTGGGCTCCTGTGAGAAAAGGACTTTGCAGCTCAAGTTCATGGGAAGCAGGGCCGGAGCCTGAGTTGCTCCCAGCGCCTGACACTGGACGATTGTCGCTGCTAAGAGCTCTGCTCTGTTTTCATAAAGATGCTCCTGCTGTGTGTCTCGGTTGCGTTGGAATGTGTTACATTTATTTTTGTTTTCATTTTGATAAGGGACAGAGGAGCCCGTGTTATTTATAAAGACGCTTGGCCTTCGAGTAGCTGCTGGAGGGAGGCTGGGTCGCCCTGCTCTGTGCTGGTGAGATGTACGGCGTGGCTGCCAGGCGCCTCGGAGCTCGCCAGCCCCAGAATAGCCATTCAGCATTCTGCGCGTCGCTGTCGCCATGGGCCGTGCCCGCGTGCAGCTTCCTCGCTCCTCCATCGGAGGCTTGGTGTCTGTCCGCTCACATCTCTTAAAAAGGGAAAGGGTTCCCAGCTACTTATTTTTAGGACGTTTTTGCTTATCTTCTCTGTCGTGGTCACGTAGGTCGTGTGGAGGCCCTGGTTTAGTGCCACTTTGGGGCCAGCTGTGTGGTGCTTTCTGAGCCTTAAAGACACAGGAGACCAGGTCTGGATTCTGTAGGGCTGGGCCCCAGGACCGTGCTGCCCAGGGCGGGGCTGGGGGCATTGAGCGGGTGGGGGACAGGCCGCTCCCAACCATGTTCGTGGTCCTCGCCTAGAAAGTTCTCGGCTCGGAGCTGCCCTGTCAGGAGGCCCGCGCACGCCCAGCGGGCACAGTCGTCCTGGGGACCCGGGACGTGCGTTCTCCCAGCTGGGATGTTGCTGGGGGTTCAGTCACTGGCTCACAGTGCTTGGAAATGGGGGGTTTTCAACAAGAATTCGGCGTTTCCCCAGTTCCGAGGCCCTGTTCCCCAGGCACCCCCTTCCCAAGGTAGCCTGGGTCACCCTCCCCCCCCCACCCCCAAACGCCGGTGTCTTCGTTCTGTGACTGCACGCAGCATGTGGGTCTGAACGGTGAACGGGTGGGAGGTGACTGTTAGTGCTGACCTTGCCCGTGGCAGGGAAGCCGTTAGACCCTCGGAGCTGCTTCCGTATCCAAGTCAGCTGCTCA